AATCTGTTGGATCAGCATCTTACGGTGGATCTTCATATGGTGAAGCTACTAAATCTGTTGCACCAGCATCTTATGGTGGATCTTCATATGGTGAAGCTGCTAAATCAGTCGGACCAGCACCTTATGGTGGTGGTGACAGTTATGGTGGATTACCACATGGTCCAGCTACTAAAACTTTTGGACCAAAATCATACGGTAACGGTGGCATTTATGGTGGATCATCACATGGTGAAGCTGCTAAATCTGTTGGATCAGGATCTTATGGTGGATCATCATACGGTCAAGCTGCTAAATCTGTTGCACCAGCATCTTATGGTGGATCATCATATGGCAGTGTTGCCAAATCTGCTGGATCATCATCTTACGGTAACAGTGGTAGTTATGGTGCATCTTATGACGCTGTACCAACTGGCGCACCATACGGTATTCAATCAACAGGCGAATATACCGCCTATTATCCAGAACAACTTGATTTATCTAATTGCGGACCAAGTAAACTATTTTGAATAATTGAAGTTTATCATGATTTTATTTTCGATTTCTATTTTAGCAACAACACAAAACCCATGTACACTTGATGGCCCACAATACTTTCCATTACCTGGCTATCCACAATGTTACATTCAATGCGCACTTGATATTATGTATGTCAAACCTTGCCCACACGTTCTTGTATGGAACCCACGCATCAATGTTTGCGATTGGCCAACAGTTGCTGAATATCCAGCTTATGATAACAACTATGGTTCATCATCCTATGGTGCCGCTAGTACCAACTATGAAAGTGGCCCATCTAATTCATACGGACGAAAAAAACGTTCAACAAGTGAACGTAAGAAACGCTTTTTCCCAGGTGGTTTTGGTGGAGGCAGACCAATTAGTATGGAAGTACCTGTCGGTAAGTGATTCAACCTTAATTTAGTATTGAATTTAGGTTTTTATCTATAATTTCTACTTTCTTCTAGGTCCACCTCTTCCAGGCCTTATTCCATTACCAGGTCTTCCTGGCCCTATTGGTGTTCCAGGTCCACTTATTCCACCACCATTCTTTGGACCACCATTTGGACCCATTCCGTATGTCTTAATTTTTAAAATTTTAATATTTATATTCTTTTCATATGTACATTTGTAGACCACCATTCATTCCTCCATTTCTTCCTCCAATAGGACCAATACCGTATGTCTTACTCTTTTTAACTATGACACACATTTGTTATATATATATATTTATTTATTTATAGATCACCAATACTTCCACCACCACTTATTCCACCATTTCTTCCTCCATTTGTTCCACCTATGCCAGTACCACTTGGCGGACCATTACTTCCACCTCTTCCAATGAGCATTCCAGCTACATTCAGTAAGTTTTTGCTTATTGCATTTCGTTTTATTTCCAACTTGATTTCTTTCATAGTTCCTGGCCCACCACCAATTTTTGGTAACCCACTCTTCGGACCATTTGGCGGACCAGGTGGACCATTAGGCGGACCATTTGGTGGACCATTCGGTGGATTAGGCGGACCTTTTGGTGGACCATTAGGCGGATTTGGCGGACCATTAGAACCTTTTGGTGGACCTTTTGGACCTTTCGATGGACCTTTCGGCGGTTTCGGCGGTGAAGAATTCTTCGATGATCCATTTGATTCTGATTTTGGGTAAGATTAATGTCTAGATAAATTTGAGATGGAATTATTTATATAATTTCAAATATATATGCATATCCAAAAGATTATTATCTAAAATAACTAATAATATTTTTTTAATATTTATTCTTAGTTTCGGTGGCGGCTTCCCATTTGGCGATGAATTCTATGGTGGTCCCCCTGGCCCATTCTTTGAACCATTCCCATTTCCAGGTGGTTACGATATTGGATTGTAAGTATTACTATTCAATGAAAAACATTATTCTTTTCACAAAATATTTCTTTTTAATTTATAATAGTGGAGAATCCGGTGATTATGGCTCGAGAGGTCATCATGGAAAAGGAGGTTACGGTAAATCACACAAGAGCAAAGGTGGTTATGGCAACAGTAACAAAAAAAATAACTATGGTAACAGTTACAAGAGCAACAATTATGACAATGGTTATAAGAGCAACAATTATGACAATGGTTATAAGAGCAATAATTATGACAATGGTTACAAGAGCAATAATTATGACAGTGGTTATAAGAGCAACAATTATGACAGTGGTTATAAGAGCAATAATTATGACAATAGCTACAAGAGCAACAATTATGACAATGGTTATAAGAGCAATAATTATGACAACAGCTACAAGAGCAATAATTATGACAATAGCTACAAGAGCAACAATTATGACAGTGGTTATAAGAGCAATAATTATGACAACAGCTACAAGAGCAATAACTACGACAATGGTTATAAGAGCAATAATTATGACAGTGGTTATAAGAGCAATAATTA